CAGTTCCCCCCCCCCCGCAGAATGTAGCATATCTACAAATTCTTGCAACTTATTTCCAATAGAGAAATGCCAACCCATTTCAACTTGACAGAATTTCTAAGTTACAGAGTTTTTAGTTCTTGTTTGTTTTAGTCTTTTTAAACTGGCACTCTTTGGAGCAAGGAAAGAAATAAAGAAAAAGAAAGAAAGAAACTTGCATTAAACAGAAAACAGAAAATTTAACCCAATTTTATTATGTAACACTTGATTTAGGGCAAAAGTGCAATGGTCAGATAAAATAAAAATATATTTAATCCAGGGTTAGTGATCATTGTAACATAACATATAAGTCCCACTTAGATATTTCTCTCTCTCTCTCTCTCTCTCTCTCACACACACACACACCCTACCTCAACGATGTCCTACCTTTCCTGTTTCCTTTCAACTAAACAGTCTTGCTAGTGTACACCCTCAGACCTACGTATTTTTCTCTTCTTTGACTCTCCTGAGCAAGGAAGGAAGAGTCTCTGTCATCTATCAGTACAGCAAAATAGTCAACTCCTACAAAGCTGTTCCCTTGAGTGGATGCCTTGATGATGTTCAGCTTTACATACCATCCAGACTACCATGCATGTAAACTACCTGTGCTTTCATGTTGGGAAATCTATTGTGTCCTTAAGGAATCAAATTATGTGGGACACAAATATTTCCCTTAAAACATGAAGGCATCATCCTCCATTGTCAATGATGTCAGGAGACAGATTATGATATCAATGCCTTAAAATGAACACTCTATGTATGGTTTGTAGTGGAATGAGAGGAAACAGGAAAAAGTTAATCATCCTTTTAAAGCTTATCATGATATTCTTTTAAAGAAAAAATATGCAATTATTCAGTAAAAATAACTAATACTTATTTGTATCTATCACTTCTAAATTTTAGTTACTACCTTACGTGTTTTTCCTTCCGTCATATGAGATCAATGTAATACGTACATTTTTCTCAAACAGATTTACATCCTTTCCCACCTGAAGAAAGACATCCAGTAAAAGTACGGGAAGGTGTGGGTGCTGTCCTCCTCTGTAACCCTCCACCACATTATCCAGGTAATTAAATTCACATTTTTAGCTGTTTCCCTGGAAGGATAGGAACTAATATGATTACAAAATTACTAACTTTGAATACGACTATATAAGCTATATAAGCTGCTTAAGCCCTGTAATGAGAAAAGTGCCTGCCGACCTCTCTGCTTGAATTTCTTTATTTCCTTAGAGCATGGTTGGGTTTTCTTTGGATTAAAGATCAACTGTCTGGTTACTATTAAAATCTTTCACTGTTAAAACTTGGTGACTTCCTTTATATATACCCAAAAATGGAAAGCACTTTTCTGCAGACATAAATGGAGTTTGGCAATAACATTTCCTAGCATAAAGACTACATTAGTCTATGTGAAAATAGATTATCTGTAGGGAGTGGCAGAGTTGCCACTATATGATGAGTGGACAAAGGAATGAATGTTGTCTTGTGGTCATTTTGTGGCAGTTTATGACCATGGACAAGGCTGGGAGAGTGTAAGGAGCTTAAAAAGTTCTCTAATTCTACAAAAGGTATAGTTTATTCTCTCATTACATTATAATTAGAGATGGGGGTATTTGTATATGAAAATGAATATCCCTGCACACCTAGACTGTGTCTAGAGTCTCCTTGAATGGCTGCTGAGTGGCCAGCTGAGTGGGAAGAGAATGGTGCTTCAGGAGCGATTGGAAGGATGAGCATGGCTGCCACTAGATACATGAGTGGATGGTCCTGCCCGAAGGCCCACACCCTCATTAAGTCCAGCTATGCGGGGATATACGTATATGTGTTCATATACGAATACAAATATCCCCACCTCTAATTATAATTACTTAATAATATCCAGTATCCTGTTGTGTAACTCTGCCTGCACAACAGTAGAGATGCTGCCACCAGCGGACGATTGCTGCTAATTAAAGAGTTCCTTTTTTCATTTTTGAGTGCACATGACTTTGTAAAGTTGTGCAAACACTCAAATCATAAAATTAGTAGTAATCTGCCATTTCCTGTGATGTCATTCCCATTGTGTAGACACAGTTATGCAGCAGGATATTGGCCATTGTAGTTCTAAGTTAGATATTTGGAAAGGAATTAATTACAAGTAAATAGTTATGTGAACCTATTTCCTTCCAAGCTGTGCTGCAGTCACTATCTTTGTAATTTAGGCTCTTCTTAGAAACATGTATAGGAACAATTTTTCATTTCATTTTCATCTCCAATGTAACATTACTATCACTGTTGGCAAGAGACATTTTGAACTGTTAAAAATATATTATTTGTAGGATCTGCCTTAAAATGTGTGTTCTGCCAAATCTGTTCACATGTTTATGTGAACAGAAGACCAATTGGGTTAATCTTGATAAGTATTTCATATTAAATGATATGGACAAAAACAAGGATGACATTAATAATTTTTCACTCTTGAAACCTTGTGTTTATATACCAGTTAGATAGTAATTAATTAAAGTAAGACCTTATCTTTTCCCCAAATTTTGTTCAGTGCATTATGAATTCTAAACTCATCTTGCCCTATGCAGGCAGAGAAGTTGTCACTGGAAAGAAAGCATACAAAATAATGGGTTTTCCAGTGTTTTTTTCAGATCTCCAGGATTCTACCAAAGACCTTCATTTTTTTTGGTCTATCTGTCTGTTTTCGTCACGTATATCTTGAAATCTTCTGCACATCCTGGAGTTTAGTGCAGTGCCTCAAATGGGTTATTCTCTAACTCCAGACTTTTCCTGTCCTGGAGATAATGCAAGTGCCTTGTGCTGGGCACCATTGCCATCAACTCTGTTGATGTGATTTTTCATCCTTGTACTGTGCAACATTTATATCATTTCATCTCCAACTCAAGCTGCCAGTATACTCATAGATATATTCAATCTAGTTGTTTGACAATGATAAATTTCAACAACAATCTTTATTTTGCGGTCTCTGACCCATTAAAATACATACATGTAATATTTAAAATAAATGGAAGTGATTAAAACATTTCAAAACAGCTAAAACAGTATAGAGTGTTCGCCTAGAGTGGTCGAAATGACTAGATAGGCGGGGTATAAATACAACAAACAAACAAACAAACAAACAAATAAATAAATAAATAAGTAAATAAATTGGTAAAATAGATTACCCATACAATGGTTTTTTTTTTAATGACTGAGCATAAAGAAAGTCCAAAGAGAGCCCTAATAGACACAGTTTGGCTCGAAAAGCTTTAAGCCATGAGCTGTTATGGACATCTTTCTGTAGAAGGCCAAGATATCCCATAGAGGGATCAGCATGCATTATCTTGTTCCAATATATAAAAGAAAAAAAATATTTTCTATGTTTGTGCTAATTTTGAAATAGTACTGAATCTGATTGTACTATTTTGTGTTTTAATATTCTTTTAAACTTAATAGTTTTAAGTGGGTTAGGAAATATATTTTATAGGGTGACTAACAGATATAATAAACAAGTACTCGTTAATCTACTTTCACTTTTATTCTTTTTGCTGCTTTTTTTCATCAATGTGTTCAGGTTTCCTACTGTCACCTGAAAATGTTTTTTATTTCCTTTAAGTCAGAATTTGTTCTTGAGCCACATTTGCAAAATGTGTACAACCTCATGCGGCATCGCCAAAACTTGCAAAATGTATTCTGACATTTTTTGGCTAGGGATACCATCAAAGCTCATTCTTACAGTACAAGCTTTAAATGCAGAAGTGGTTAGACTTAAGCCCAGGGATCTTCCAGAGAGCGGGATGTAAACTTGGATAGCTATTGGTTTCAGCTTTGAGGAGCTGCCACCCTATATCAAGCTAGATGGACCAATGGTTTGATGCAGTGTAAGACGTCGGCATAAATTAATGTCATAATAGCTCAGTCACAAACCAAATGCTTGCATGTTTAAAGAACTAGGTTCAAAGTTACTGACACATAGGTTAAAAAGAAATCAAGTCAATATCTCAGCCCCACATGTATGAATGCCCCATCCCATGCTGCTCCCCTTATGTAGTCCTGAATTGAGGAACCATTAACTTTAAGCAACTACTTTGAAATCCATATGTATTCTTTTCAGAATGCGTACAAACCTGATCAAACATCAAAACATTTCTCCCTCTCTCTCTCCAGATGATCTCAGTTACCGCTGGGTTCTGAATGATTTCCCAGAATTCATTACTTTGGATAAAAGGCGATACGTATCACAGTCAAATGGCAATCTCTACATAGCCAAAGTTGAAGCATCAGATAAAGGCAACTATTCTTGCTTTGTGACCAGCAACTCAATCACTAAGAGCGTGTTTAGCAGTTTCATTCCACTTATTCCTCAAGCAGATCGTAAGTATTTATCATGTCGGTTAGATGTCTTGTTTGCCCATTTGTTATTCTAATGCGCCATCAAATCACTCCTCAATTATGGCAACCCCAACAGGATTTTCAGGGTATTGTGAGGTATTTATTTGGTACTCCCCAGTGAGTTTTCTTGGCCAAGTGAAGAATTTGAACCCACTGTCTCCTGAGTTCTAGTCTCTATCCATCATACTTTAAAACTGAAATAGTCTAATGTTTAGCAGATATCCTCCATTTGTGATGACAGAAGCAAGGTGAGGGGCAAAGGAACCTTCCTGGATTTAGCAGCAGCACAGCGGGTGGCAATCAGAATGCCATGTGAATATCCAGAGGGGCTAGCAGCCAAAAAGAGCTTGAAGAAGAAAAAATTACGCCAATCTGATGACCAGCAGATTCTGGGACTTTTAGCCCAGGAAAATAACTTCTTACTGGGAAACAAGAAGCTCAGTAAGAAGCAACCACCTGCCATATTGCCAAAAAAACCAAACAGATTTTTGTCATGATAAAAAAATGAGATCAGAGTTGTATCTTTCCTGAGAAGATGAAAATTGTGGATGCCAGAAAGTGAAATCATAACCCGTTATCATGCTACTGCTCTCTTAAAATGATGACAAACATATTGTCCGTGAGAAATAAATATCAAAGAAAATACTTTCCTATACTTCTGTGTCCACATATATTTGGACAGGATGTTGCCTGTTTCCAGAGTTTTTACAAAGGCATTTACGAATTGTCCTGTTTTTAGCCAATTAAAGATTTCCTGTCTCTTACAATTTGTTGCTTGCGATAAAACAATTGCCCTTAAACACTGAGATAAACTGAGAGTTACCTTCCATTATGGTAATGCTTTATGCAAAGGTTAAATCATATTTGTTATCCTACTGCAAGTCAGCAAAGACCTTTCTCTTCTGGCATGCTTTCCCTTAGTGACTGACTGTCTAAGAGAAGTTTTAAAATGGGATGGTTCGTGTTTTTGTTGTTTTAAAATCTGTTTTAGTAATGTTTTAAACTAATATTTGTAATATACTGTTTATATATATTTTTTAAAAAATATTTATATAACTTACTGTTTTTAGCTTTCAAATATTGTTCTTTTAATTATCTAAGCTACCTTGGGCCCTTTTTAGGAGAAAGGTGGGGTAAAATATTTTACCTACCTACCTACCTACCTACCTACCTACCTACCTACCTACCTACCTACCTACCTACCTACCTACCTACCTACCTACCTACCTACCTACCTACCTACCTACCTACCTACCTACCTACCTACCTACCTACCTACCTACCTACCTACCTACCTACCTACCTACCTACCTACCTACCTACCTACCTACCTACCTACCTACCTGCCTGCCTGCCTGACTACCTACCTACCTACCTACCTACCTACCTACCTACCTACCTACCTACCTACCTACCTACCTACCTACCTACCTACCTACCTACCTACCTACCTACCTACCTACCAGAGATGAATACAAATATCCCTGCATAGGTGGCGATAACATGGGTCCAGCCCCATGGGGCCAGACGGTCTACTCACCCATCCGCCGCTGCTGCAGACACTGCAATTCTTCCAATGGCTCTGCAGATCACGCTCGGCTAGACACTCCTGGCAGGAAGCAGGAGGACAAGCCTTGCTGCAAGGTCAAAGTGTGGCTCCCAGGTCACTATCTGCAGAGCCATTGGAAGAATTGCTGCATCCGCTGCAGTGGCGGATTGGTGAGTGGACCATCCAGCTCCATGGGGCTGGACCCTCGTTATCACCACCTGTGCGGGGATATTTGTAATTGTATACAGATATGAATACCCCCATCTTACATACATACATACATACATACATACATACATACATACATACATACATACATACATACATACATACATACATACATACATACATACATACATACATACATACATACATACATACTCTTGGTAATCATGGCTAATGGTCTCCCCCATTATTGCTCCTTTAAAACACATGCCTGTAGGCTCCGGGTAGTCAATGTGCTGAAGTGGCTACAGTAATAGGCCAGGATGCAGGACATCTGGGTTTGTATCCTTGCTCAGTCATGGAAATTCAGTGGAGGCTGTGGGGGATTGCACCGATAAAACCACTCCTTATATATCTTACATGCCTTGAAAACCCGATTAAATTCCTATAAGTCAAATGTGACTTGATGGCATGTAACACAGAGGTACATAACTATTTGTCCATGGTTGCATTCTACATCCAGAAATGGATTCTACATCCAGAAATGGGAAAGACCTCTGTGCAGATCACTCTCTGTATAGCTTTAATTTGTACCATTTCTTTGCTTCTCTCTTTGTATTAGGTACAAAAGGTTATCTACCAGATATCAGAGTGAAGTTCAAAGACACATATGCACTTCTAGGGCAAAATGTGACACTAGAATGTTTTGCGCTTGGAAAGTAAGTATGCTTGAATCTAGAAGCAACTTCTAGAACTGGGCCAGAGGCTAGCAACTCTGATCTGCTGTCAGGAGCAATACTGGCTCCTGCATATAAGATTTGGAAGGTTCGAGTTCTCCACCTTACTTATTTCTTGAAGCAGGGTAGACATACACAAGGAGAACAGGCTTCAGCTGCCATTTTTATCTAAGTAGACATACTACTGCATGAATGCAATGACTGATACATGCATCCCATATTATGGCATGGGCTGCAGGTGTCATTGCATTGAAAACTATGAATGAGGGTAAAGCTGAATTCAGTGAAACTGGCAGTGCATATTATCTGACATGGGCAATGATTGTGTCCCTTCCTTCCCTCCCTTTATTTCACTCTCTCATATACACACTTTATGTCCTGTCTTCCAGTTGTGCAGATTATCTTGTCTTCTGTTCAGTTCCATCGAAATAATTTGATGTCAGATTCCAATTTTGCATAGAAAGAATCCACCAGTGAATATTTCAACAGCCTGCTTTCTTGACAAAAGTTAACTAAGATTTTAGAGTAGTCTAGGAATCACAATGCTATTTACTCAGGGCTATGATCATGGTGGTGAGGTGGAGACAAACATAAGCCCTTCCCCCGTGTTCACTCTCCCTGGATATCTGTCAGAACACGGTAAAAACAGTCTTAAAGGGACACTGTGAGTGAGTTCTGTTGAATACACACAGTTCCCATGATGTGAAGCCCTACTTCATCAGGGCTCCTGGTCACAATCACAGAAGCATATCCAATCAATCCTACCTACATGACCCTGTTGAAACACTTGTGCTCAATGTGCAAAAATGTGCTTGAGTTTTTGAGGGTGGGTTGTGGGGGGCAGGGGTTATGTTTGCATCCCCATCTGTTTGGGCTTTTTGTATATAAGCTGAACGAAGGGCCAAAAGAACTCTGGTTATACTGTACTGTTTTTGCCCTTATTTGGTTTCAGATTGTTCCGTTCACATGACACATGACTAACATAAATTCATCTGCCCCAGCACTTCGTTTATTTTCTCCTTACTGGGAGGTTTGTTCTAAAATGTACCGATCATATATAATTTCATTCCTTATCATTTCAGCATGTATGAACATTGCTGTCAATATATTTCATTTATGAAGGGGTTGGGTTTTTATGTGCTGTGGCCATTTCATGGCCACTCCACTTGTACCCTTGTTAAAAAAAATTAAAGGGATATTTATAAATTATTAGCAGCAGCCACCACTATGAAAACAACATGAATTCATTGCTCAGAAGAAGACAGCCTTCTTCCCCCCCCCTTCCCTTGTGAGTGAAAGAGGGTTTGGGCACAAAAAGGGACATTTCTTGCTTTGAATTTAAAAAGGGGGGGTATTGCATTAATGTCTCCTCTCTCTTTTAAAAACCCTGCTCTTGACAACACTTTGCAAGAACATTTCTTGCTTTGAATTATAAAGAAAGGGGTATTGCATTAATGTCTCCTCTCTTTTTTAAAAACCCTGCTCTTGACAAAACTTTGCAAGTCTTTTAAAAGCCACTTCTTCCTCTTGATGCTATGCAAAAGGGAAACGAAAAGTGGAAGCCAAGAACCGAGAGGGAGAGATATGCAGGGAAATAAATAACAGGTGATAAGTGAGTAAAGGAGGGAAGAAAATATATCACTTTTGTAATTTTAAAAAAAGGACCGGGAGGGGGGAACTGGTTGCCCAAGAAAACAATAGAAAAAAATGAATTGATATAAAAAAGCAGTGTAGCCGGCTATAACTTTTCAAATAGAAAGAAATGTAGCAATGCAGTTTAAAACAATGTAAACACTTCCACCAATATATATACCACATGACCACTAAAAATGTATCCGTACAACAGAGGGATGAAAAGAATTGGTATAACTGGGGTTCTTTTCTGAAGTGCAATTGAGCCTTTAGAAAGGCATTACACCATTTCAATTTACTTTAGATAGACAAGGAACTGGGGAGGAAGTCATCAGAAGACAGTGCTGAGAGAGAGAGGGTAGAGACATTTGAGGAGGGGGTGGAGAAACAGCTAAGTAAGAGATCTCTAGCTTTAAGAAAGGGCTTTTTTTTTTGAAAAAAGGGGAGTGATATAGAAGTGAAGAAGTGGCTTGATAAATAGAAAGGGGAAGCAGCGGATTGGAAGGCATGGACGGGGAGGACACAAGATTAAGAAGTGTCCCCTATTCACATGTATTCCATTTCCCTCCCCAAGCCCTGTTCCTGAAATTAGATGGAATAAGTATCTGGAACCCATGCCAACCAGTGCAGAGATAAGCATGTCTGGTGCAGTCCTCAGGATATATAATATTCAGTTTGAAGATGAAGGTACATATGAATGTGAAGCTGAAAATCACAGAGGAAAAGATAAGCATTCAGCAAAAGTATATGTTCAAGGTAGGTAGACTGCTTTTTCACACTTTGCATCACTGTGCTGAAAACCTCATAGTTCATACCTATTGCATCTTATACTATCACTTGGTGTGACTGCTTTTCAGTTCCAGATGTTAAGAAATTAAAGGCAAAGTGTGTTAATGAATAGGGTAGCTGCTGACAGTTGTTGCACTGTACTATATTTAAACCTTAACTATTATGTAAGGCTATTAAGAGTAACCAGGAAAAATAAGCTAATTAATAGAACAGAAAGCAAGACAGGCTGAGGTCACAGACTACATATGTATAAATATTTATCAGTTTCTCGCAAAGCAGTGTATCAGTTGTACATGGATCAGAGATTATATATATATATATATATTTATGGATAATTTCTCATCTGTTCAGTAAAATGAGTAAGTCAATTCTATCTCATTTTTATGTGAACCTGTAGTTTGTTTTGAAATCTGCACAAAAATTCATACAGTATTTGAATACATATTTTAATGCATTTTCTCATAAAATACACATTTCTAAAAGTAAATTCATAGCATGTATTCCTAAATGTATTCTATTCTAAAACCTTTATTTCAGTGCATGTTGGTTTGTGTGTCCACTGTTTGCAACGACCCTATATACAACATACAAGGGCACCTTCTTGTGGCCTTTGACCTACCCCCTTGTGGCCTTTGTCTCACCCTCTTATATGTTGTATACAGTATAGTGTTCCCCCATATCTGTGGTTTCAGGCATCCACAACAGAGTGAAGAACCGATTCCCCAAGGATACTATATATATTTTTTGAGCCAGGAATTGCATTGCAAAATATGAAGTGAAAATTTGAATGATGATTACATTTCCATCTGTTCATGTAATCCTCAAGCTATTATTGAATTGCCAAGTCCCATCAATTCTAACCAGTATTGCCAGTGATAAGGATTGATGGGGTTGGGGTTCACAATATCTGGTGGGCCATATCCTCCCCATTCCTGTGCTAAATCATATTTAAAACAATCCAGGATCACTCTGAGGTTTCTGTTCCTGGATTGTTCACTAGTCAGAATTTAAATAAACTATGTTCCTCAACTTGGACATAATGGGAAATTGTGGTTCGCTTAATGGAAAAACAGAAGCTTCCAGTCTTCTCTGATGTGTGTCACACAAGGTGTGGAATGTATGAACATAAGGAAACATATGATTTCCAATCATGTTTTAATTGATCAATAGCATAAGATGCAGAGTTGGTTTCCACAAGTATAAAATCACATGTATTGATTCATTCTTCAAATGGAAAAACTAGGTTTGCCATAACAGGATTTCAACATGAGGACTATCCATCAAGTGTGCCATGCACTGAAGAAAAGCCAAGGAGTGAAGCAGAAACAAAATAAGGCATTCAAATTTTTTGAAATGGCAAAATGTGGTAAGGATGGAAGAGGACTAAAAATGTCATTGAAATGTGACATAGTTTATCACTGGTCTCGTAGGATTATCTCAGAATAGGTGTTTAACAGATACATAAAACCAGTAAGTAGGATTTGGCACTACAAATCAGGGTTTAAAAAAGGAGAAGGCAATTGGATTTCAGTGTATGCAAAATGTAAGCATTTTGTTTTCTTGGTTTTTCAGCATATCCTGAATGGGTAGAGCACATTAATGATACAGAGAGAGATTTGGGCAGTGAATTCCATTGGCCCTGTGTAGCTGCAGGCAAGCCTCTTCCGACAATCCGATGGCTGAAAGACGGACTACCGGTAGGTTTAGTTTATCCTTTAAGTTAAACCTATAATGGCTGAAATCCTACTCCCTAGTCACACTAAAGTAGGCCCACTGAATCAGTGCACGAATCAACGCTTCTGTAAATTTCATTGATTTAAATTGGCCTCTTCCGGTTATGACATTTTATTATATTTAAAGTGAAATGTGTGGTGCATCAAAATATAATCAAAATTCACAATTTTAAAACCAGATTAGATCCAGGTTATAGATCTAGTTTTTGAATGGGCAGCTTCCCCATTCCATCTTGTAGTGGGATACATTTCCCTTTCCTTAGTCTTAAATACCTTTTGTTGTAATAAGTTTCTACTAAAATAATTTGTCCAGAATTACAACATTTAATGATTTCAGTGCAATCATGAGCACATTTCGTGGTATATGTGGTTGCAAACAAGCAATTCAGTGTAACATGCCAATGTTGTTGTCAAAGCCAGTACAATTACTTTCATGAGTTACTAATTTTATAATTACATTACTTCCCTGCCTTTCCAAAGCCATGTAGTACTTAAGATGGCTTACAATAATGATAAAACATAAAAACATCAGTAGAAAAAAATCAAATAAAAAATTTAAATCAAGCAAAACAAAACACGATAATAATAACCATTAAAATTAACTAAGTAGACAGACAGTTAAATTCATCACACTAATAACAGAATCATAAAATTAAATTAATCAATTCAGCATTTAAATAAATAATATCATAAGGACACATAAAATGTGTCTTTAAGTCCTAACAAGTAGCAAGAGTGGAAACTGATTGTAATGGTGAGGGGAGTACATTTCACAAATATTATGTTATAAAATAAATCTACATACTACACTGACATACAGGATTGCAAAGTTCATCACATTCTTCTCAAACACTGAGCATAAAACTACTGGGTAAAACAAAATATCTTGATTCCTGTGAGAATGTTGTACTTGTTAAACCCAGTAGATTTTTTAAAGCCATATATTTTTCTGTGCTTTCATTTTCAAAGGTCTCATTTCCTCCAGGAAGAAAGAAGATTGAGATATATATGAAGGAAAAGACAATGTAGCCAAAGGATATTTAAAAATAAAGATATATTTGCTGTTGTTGATCATACAATCCATGGAAAGATAGATAGGCTTTTTCACTGTACATAATCCCTATCAGTCACACACATTTGGATCTTTAATAACTCTACTGACATTTGTCTAATACTGAATTTAATAATGTCCTTGTTATCAAGGATGTGATTTTAAAAACATTCTCTGCTTTAGGTTTATTATATGGACAAACTGTAGACACACATAAAAATCTTCATCACTTCAGTCTGCAGGAAACTAGGATACGATGACTGAAGTCCTTTTTCTGTTATTTGTTTCCATGCCAAACAGATCCGTTAGTAATCAGTTAATAATATGACATTGTGTTAGAACTGTATAATTTTATCTGAATTGCTTTAGAATATGTTCAGTTAAAGTAATTTATTTTATTTTAGGTAATATACTGTATTTCCATACTAAGGAAATACTGTATAGTCAAATTATGCTGTAGTGCTATGCACACTTGACAATGAGCTGGTACTAACAGGGTGCTAAAAGCACATGGTTCCCCTTTGCCCCATGTTTTCAGTGTCTTTTAGAACTAAATAATTTGCTGTTGTTATCTGCTATCAAATTGATTCAGTTTATGGGAACCTTATGAATTAATGAGCTCCAGAAAAGTCCTGTCATCAATGACTCTGCTCACATCTTGCAAATTCAAGGCAGAGATAAATAACAGTGAATATTATAACACTCATCCTGATCCGGCAAGGGAGATTAACTCCAAAAATCAAAGGACATTTCTGTACACAGATCTGTTTACTGGATTGCAGTATTTGCTTGCGTAATAGTACACATAACCCCCCCTTTGGATGTTCACAACCAAAATGCTTATTTATTATTTTAGTTAAACTCTTTTCATACCGCCTATGTAGGCAAAGCCTTCCCACTCGGTTTGCAAAATGGATCACTGCCTGGGGACATTAAACAGGTGGCTACCAGTATACCTATAATCTTGGATAGTGCTCATATCTTGTTGGGGAGGAATACAGTGATGGGGGCAAAGCCACAGTTCTTCCTCTTGCCTTACCTCTAGCTGAGATGAAATGAGGCCTGGCTGTGATTCCAACCAATTTACCAAAAAAAGGTCCTTGCCATTGTGAAAGGTATCACTCTAGCAATCTGTTACTATTTATGTCTCAGATGTATCTTCAGAACTGCTTGATACCTATATGGTTTCTTTTTGTTGCTTTCTTTTAGTACTGGAAGGGTGACTTGAGATTTTCTAGTCTAAGGAACGATGATAGCGGCATGTATCAGTGTGTAGCAGAAAATATGCATGGCATGATTTATTCAAATGCAGAGCTGAAGGTTATTGGTGAGTGAAAACATAAAATTTAACATTAATTTAAATCACTTCTGATTAGTAATACAATAAGCTGTGATCATACCCTGCATTTCCTTTTCAATTCAAAGTGCTAGTTTTGACTTCTAAAATCCTTTATATTCTGTGATCACCTGCCTAAAGAGTTGCCTTCCTTACTCCTTGTCTGTTTGAAATGTAAGTGCTTCTTATGAAACTGTGTTTCAAGGGTCCCCAACATCTGAGATGCAAAATGTGGCTACATATGAAGAAACTTTTGGTGATAGCATCCAGATAGTGCACAAACAAAATGCAGCATTCACACCAGAATCAAAGAACATGAGAGACACTGCAGACTAAAACAACTGGGAAAATCAGCAGTAGCTGAACATGCGCTAAAACAAGCTGGACATTAAATTCTATTTCAAAATACTGAAGTACTGGACAACACCAGCAAGCCATTGAAATCCATAAACCACCAGCAGAGTTTTAACAAAAAAGAGGAAAGTCTAAAACTTAATAAGGCCTGGCTTCCAGCACTGGAAAATACAGTCTGCAAAAGGTCAACGAACTCTACCCAGCCACAAGGACCAGGGATCATTGCACAAAAAAGACCAGCTAAAGACAACCATCAATCACAGTGACAGATAATCTCTCCCTCTTATCACAACAATACATCCACACAAAAACATGCTAATCACTATCCAACAAACAGCAACAGAGCATGGACAGAGTTCCTACTCCAGCCCTCTGAAGATGCCAGCCACAGAGACTGGCAAAACATCAGGAAGAACAACCTTCAGAACAGGACCAAAGAGCCCAAAAAACCACAACAACCAAATAAATCCTGTATTTTTTCATTTTCTCAGGTTATTTAATTCATTCTAATTTACCATCTAAGATGACATGAGATTGTGTGTTTTTAAAATTACTTTCTGCTGCTTTACATTTTACTACATATTTCATGTGTCATTGTTTTGTTGTGTTAGGATTATAGAAAACTATACTGGAAATTTGTTGAAGGGCTGGTATAATAAAAAAGTACTCAATACAAATGCAAACTTTAACCAATTAAAGCCCTAGTTGAGCAATATGGGCTATTTTCACTCGGTGAAGCTCTGATATAAAAATATCAAATCTGCTGTTTGTTATTGTTGGCCAAATCCTTTTGGTGTTTTAATATGTTGCTGCAACTATTTGCAGCTAATTGACAAGTGCCTGGATAAATTTCAGTTGCACATACTAAGGTGTTCCCCATTAGCCACAATTAGTCATGGCAAATAATGCAAATTTTGTGCAAACATCAATAGGTTCTGACCTATTTATTTATTTTGGAGCTATTTTTGTTTGGATACATTGCTGCCTTTGTTTATCTGCCTCTTGATAATGAAATTAGTTGCATAAAATTCTTATACTGCCTTCTGTATCTCCATAGAGAACTCTTATACTGGTGATGTTTTAATTGGATTATAATTTATCATTAAATGAATAAAACAGTTATATAATTCTTGTTATGTAAACTGGCAACTGCGGTCCTCTACGTGCATACCTGGGAGGAAGTCATGTTAATCTCTATAGTACTTACTTCTGAGTAGACACTGTAGGCTTGCACTGGTAGTGCCTTAACTAGGTATTTGTGTGTCTAACAAAATACATATTTTTCTCTGCAGTTTTGGCTCCTACCTTTGAATACTATCCAATGAAGAAAGAAGTCTTGGCTGCTAGAGGAGGCCAGGCTATAATTGAGTGCAAGCCTAGAGCAGCTCCTAGGCCAAAACTTACTTGGAGCAAAGGGGCAGAGATTCTTAGAAACTCAACCAGGTTAGTATTGTTGGTTGGAACAGCCAGAATGGGTTATGATCCACTATTTCAGGCAGAGTCTGTCAGCCATTTCTGCTCATTTCCTGGTGCTGTGATTAACAAATCTGTAGGGGAAACAGCCTCACATCCAGGACAGATAAAAGAATATGGTTTCCACCAGAGAGAGATTTCATATATCTCTAAATAAAATCTATTGTTTGATATTCAGACTTAATTTTCCAATATAAATATACTCCCTCTCAGAAATTTATGGTTTTCTGTTCTCTGAAGTCCTATTCATTTCAAGGGGAACTAAGCACTATTCATCTGTTTTGGCTGTTATCCTGTGTTGACTAACCAGGATGTGAAATCAAGATCAGATCAATTAGTCCTTCCTTGGAAAGAATATTTGCAGTGAGGCCATTTTGTGCTTTATAACCTGCAAGAAGATGTGGAGTGCACTTTGGGGCCTTTAGAGAAATGATAGAGATAGGCAACGTATTAGACACTGGTTGATCTCTCCATACATACTGTAATACAGGCATTTAAAAATTAATCTTTATACTTGCTAATTAACTCTGGATGTGAGGTCCCACAGATCCTGCTATTTTAATTTGCTCCATTGCTGATTCTGCTTCAGTTGGTGCATTAACCCAGCAGAGTTCACTGCTGATCATTTTGAGGGGAAAACAGTTTCCTCTTCTTTTTATATGAGTAAAAATTGTGCCAGTTATAGTATATGCTTAATAATTAATGGTGCTGTCTAAAGATCTTTGGTTCCCATGTTACAATACTTGCTTTCTAGCACTTTTTTTTCATAAGAATCCTGATAACACTGAACAGAACAGAATTGACCTAAGACATTTTCTCACCACAAGCTAAACATAGGATAGCGTTCCCTCTTCCATATACTGGGAACCATCTGATTTAATGACAGAATCTTATTTTTCATAATGTCCATAAGACAATGGGCAGAGTCCTGTTGATGTAACTTTATGCCCATGTAAACTTCATTGGACACTGGAAATGTTTAGTTTAAACTCATGGAACATTTCTTATTCCTCTCCCCCTTTCAGGTTGTAGGGCTCCCTCTTGCTCTGGGGAAACCCTTAGGAGCCTCAGGACCGGGCATGAGCTTTAATAGTAATATTTTTAAAATGCTATTTTATTGCTTCTGCCAGTCTCAGTCCCAGCAGTGACAATATGATAGTGATCCCAAAGTGTTCCCCAGGGCAGAAGGGAGCCGTAGGGAGCTTTGAGATGGGTGGATAGGAAACTTTCCATGAGTCTAAATTAAATGTATCTGGCACCCAGTCTGGGTTATGCTAGTGTGAAGTTATTCAGCAGGATTTTGCCCAGTGTGTTCTACTGCACATAAGGGCAGCAAAATAGCTTAGGTGGCACGGGATGTATCACACACAACTCTGCCCTCACTGGAACTCTCCCTCCCTCCCAGCATCTGCTCTTTGTGGTAATCATTTTATTTTTGCTTAATGCTAAGGCTGCCCCTGTTGCTGAATCACCATAAGAACTGGGCACTCACACACCTGCATGATTTAGATCTCTAAGAATTATGAGAGCCAGATCACCATCTCCTGTCCAATTCCTGTTTCTGACCAAGCATTTTGCTTGTTTGTTGTGTTTATATTTCACCTCAGTGGTTTGTGGTGACTAAGCTGTATGTAGCTGTATCTTAACATCATTGCTTTGGAAAGGGTCATGAAAAGTTTCCAATGTTTGGGGAATGGTTTTGCATCTGCTGTCACTATTCAGCATCACAAGGCAGTGTGATCAGGAGGATCTGTCTTTTCACTTTTCAGTCATACAACCCTTCTTCTCAGCTGGTGTCGTGCTGGAGGTCAACAATGGAACAGAGGGTGTCCTCTGATATTATTCTAGACAATATGGAGTGGATTTTCTTTCTCCCAGTGAGGGAAATAAGTTAAAGACAAGGACCTCTGGGGAACTGCCTGGTTTCCTAGGCAACACGGGAATGCTTTTTCTTCCAGTGCAGTAGAAACTAGGAGATGTCATAAAGGCTCCAGATAGCAAACTAATTCTCTCTGCCTTAACAAGCTGTACTCCTTAAGTGTCAGAAGTTAGAGAAGTATTTCCACCTTATATAATTAACCAGACTTTCTGAAATGACACAGCACAGGAAGAACAAAATGACTGTGGTAACTGCATGAACAGGGCTATGGAAGATATGCATTTGAAGGATGGAATGGGGAGCAGACTTTCTATTATAAAACCTACAATTTCTTACCAACCAACAATATATATATACAAGGACTTCCAGGCTGGCCCTGCCATTAGGCACAGTGAAGCAACTGCCTCAGGCAGAAGATGTTGAGAGGCAACAGTCATCTGGCTATTGTTTCTGAAACCTCTGGTCAGTCCCCTCTGTTCTAAAACAGAGTTATTTGTGTCATACAGTTTTCCTGGCTACCTCCTAAACTGTTCTGCTGCTTTTAGGTGCAGTGGAGCGTATTCTCTCACTGCCAGTACTGAAGTAAGATTCAGGTGGAAGTCGAGATAGATTCTGCATGCAGATTTGGGGTAGAGGTATCATCTTGACCTTTGCCTCAGGCAGCAAAATGTCTTGTGCCAACCCTCATTGATTCTCATATGTAGAAAAGAGGACTCATGACTGATTACCAATACTTAGACAGAAGGATTTTTTGTCAAAATACAGCAGATCACTCACTATCTCCCTGTGCACATCTTCCTTACCATATAGTTTTTAGTTTGTGTGTTACTTTTTTCTAACACAAAGGCTAGTTTGTGTATCAGGGGGAAAATTAGTTTCTTGTCACAATGTTGGATAATTATATCACATGTATATGAAAATGTAAATGTGTGATAATCTGGGATATCTTGGTTAGTAATGATGTGATATGCATGAAATGAATACAATTTTAATACATTGTGCATTCATATAGAATTTTATCATGTGGTGTAATTAAAATTGAATGTAATCTGTGTACTGAATTCTTTCATCCCTTGTTTCTATCATATTCACACAGCTGGAGTTCTCTTATGCCAAAGCTATGAAATAGTTTCTAGGATCTGCATGCAAATGTTATGCATCCTATAAAGCATAATTTCAATAATGATGTTTGTAGTTGCTGGGCTTATTTCCAAATAAAAGGTGCAACTATACTGTATTGTTGAATTAAATTGGGAGCTGCTTTGGTTTTTAGAAATTGATTTAACATCATGTGGGTTTTGTGTTGTTGTGCATGTACAACAACTTGTAGTTTGGTTATAAGCTGGGTGGTACATTGGTGCTTCAGTGCTCCAGGTCCTGTTTTTTTCCTCTGTACCAGAAATTCTTCACCTCCGTTGTACCTTGTGCCTTTCTTGAGGTGGAGCTTGCCTGCCTTTGAGACAGCTGGTACCAGACTCAGCAGTTTTTCTTCTCCAAAGCCAGTATCAGCAACCTAAAATGTCTTTTAAGAATCATCACGTCCAAAGCCATCAGAGTTCTTCTTTACCACTGGTCTAAATTGCCTTTTTTTAATATTTAATTTTTAATATACGTTTTCAAGTGGCATAGTGCTAGATTGATGCAGCACTAAAATAGAAACAGATGGGGAGAACAAAGGAAGAGTTTGAAGTGCAAGGTATCCTGCAGTCCAGATCTTGGATAACCTCATATACCCCCACAGACACTACTTACTTTGACACATGCCAAAATGGGTTTTAAAAAAGCATGGCCAGAATTGTTTTAAAATAACCTGCCCATGGGTGTTTTAAAAACCACCCTTCCCTGTAAAAAAAAAAAAATCACACTTATCTGTACATCATGTATTTGGAGATTTAAAATTCTCTTTTAAGCATTCCAAACTCAGTGCGAAAACAGTAGAATTATGGTGTGTAGCTGAGTCCTGAGTGAGGTAACAGAGCTAATACTTTTTAACTCATTAAATGTCTATGCAGATATTTAACCTGTCTGCATAGATTGTATATGGGTTAATAGCAGGGAGCCCTGATGCAAAACAGAATGAGCTCCTCTGCCTGTAATAGTTTTATAAAAAAGGAAATTCTGAGATGTAAAGGTAAGAAAAGCTGCATCTGCCAGCAGTCCCCCTGTGCAGTTTCTAGGAGCAGAACAAGACCCTATATTCTGTGCACCTAGTACCAACCTGGGGTACAGTAGTTCGTGTTCCTTTTGAATGAATCCTATTTTTTTGCAGTTCCGTCTGCATCACCACTGGTGCATGCTGGATAAAGGGTCAAAGGCATCCGTATTTTTGTGGTTTTCGTATCTTGCTTAGGACAAAGCAGTGATAATATGGAGTGTCACTAGTAATGGACAAAGGTGAGGCCCACGTAAACACCAGATGACACCTGTAGAAACAACTAATTAATCTTGGCTAGTTTGGCTGAAATCTTGCCACCCCCTTCCTGGCTCCAGGAACATGCATTTTGAACAGCAAATTGTACACTGAGCTGTTAAAAATAAGAAAGAAGTTCAGGTGACTTGCTTTAACTCATAGCTTGTGTCATGATTGATATTGCTTACTGTTTATACAATGTGATGGAGAAAGTACTGGAACAGTATCAAACACTATCTAACTCAGTCCTCTTCCTTTTGGTGGACCTAATGCAGCTGGGACTAACATAGGATTTAGCCCATAAATAGTATATTACTAGAGAAATCATGGACTGTGTTACTGGTCAATGCAATCAGTTCAAGGGGCTGTTGAAGTTATGGTAAGCTAATCACATCTCTTTCAGACAGGTGTTGTTTTTGTCTGATACCATGTCCTAACATTTTTTTTCTTTGAATAGGATACATATTTGGTATGATGGAAGTCTGGAAATTATAAATGTTACAGCAGCAGATGCAGGTAACTACACCTGTTTTGTGGAAAATTTCAAAGGAAAAGCAAACAGTTCTTCTGCTCTTGTGACCACAGGTAATCATTTAATATCCTTAAGCTAAATTTACAAAAACACATTGTAAAAAAAAAAAACAGATGGGTTCACAATGTTAGTTCTGAAGTCCTTGTTTGAAGTCCTCTTCAGACCACGTGTTTCTAGATGCTTCTGTGTGTCTCTGTGGCAAATTACTACCAACTGACCGAAAAAACCCCAAAGCTTGTATTTCTTGTGTCATGCCAAGTCACTTACAGGCATCTCTTTAGACCTTCACACAGAACATGCAATGGTCTGAGTGATTTCTGGTTGAGTGGACATTTGGTGGTGGGAATCACTGACCTCCCCATGTTCTCACTCAGCTTGAAGCCACACACATTTTTAGGCTATAACGCCTGAACAAGATTGATATATCATGTCACACACAATATTTATTCATTCATTTATTTATTTCTAAAAATTATATACCACCCTGTTAGTGTATAACATGTACATGTAAAAAAACAGTGGTGTACATGTAAAAAAAACAAATGAAATGGTATAATAGCATAGTGAAGCTTAATAAAACTGAATGGCAACGGGCAAAAATAGTCCAGGTGTTAAGCCCAGATGGTACAGTGAGTTCAAGCAGCAATACAGAGCGGGGAAGTTCAAAAAAGGTTGTTGCCAAAGGCTTATGAAAAAAGATGAGTCTCTAACAGCCTCTTGAAATTCAGGAGGGAGGGGCCCAGGTGTAGATCCCTTGGGAGATGGTGCCACCTCTGAGAAGGCCTGGCTTTTTCTCTAAGATTTTCTGGCCTCCTTTAGCATGGTTACTCAATGGAGCATAGCTTGAGAGGATCTGGTGGTGTGGGAAGAGGCACTCCGACAGTATCTCATATAAGGATGCATAGAGGGACAAAATTGGCATATATATTGGTTTGTTTCACATGCAAAATTTCCACTTTTTTCTTTGTGCAGCTCCCACAAGGATAGATTTAGCTCCAACTAATGTTGATGTCATTGTTGGACAGAATGCTACCATGCAGTGCCATGCAACCCATGATCCTTTTTTAGATCTGACTTTTATTTGGCTTCTCAATGGATATCCAATAGATGTTGATAAAGAGAGTGAATACTATGAAAGGAGCATCATGGTAAGATACTACACATTTCTACACATCACTTTTTTGGTGTGGTCCAATAAAGTTATCACCTGGTCCTGTTTTTGTATTGTTTTGCCATGCAGTGCCATGCAACCCATGATCCTTTTTTAGATCTGACTTTTATTTGGCTTCTCAATGGATATCCAATAGATGTTGATAAAGAGAGTGAATACTATGAAAGGAGCATCATGGTAAGATACTACACATTTCTACACATCACTTTTTTGGTGTGGTCCAATAAAGTTATCACCTGGTCCTGTGTTTGTATTGTTTTGGGGACCACATGGCCTTTTACTGATTTTTACTACATGTTTCTGATATATCTAGGTTTGAAGGGCCATTTATATAGAGAGAAATATATATATTTCTAGTTTTATTGGAAATGATTGCTCTAATGGTGTTGATAAGAAATTGATACTTCCAATAACATTCTTCATACTAACAATTTCTTATTAAGGAAAAATAGTTATTGCATGATAAATCTTGATGTGAATTGTTCTGGAAAATACATTCTGTATAGATGAGGAAACATCAAGAATAATCTATTATTCATCAACTTTTTCTCCATTCAAATGCTTGCTTATACCAATGATTATTTAACTTGTTTCTTCTTCTTTAAAATGGCATCTTTTCATTCATGAAATATACTTCTTTCAGGGAAAACTCTCATGAACTGTAACCAAATTCCTGTAACAGACATGTGAGGCCATGGATGAAACTAGACATGTGTCTTCAAACTAGAATGTATCTTCCCTACATTAATGATTTTCCTGTGGCACAACAGAATTTGCTCAAAGATATGTTCCTTGGCTATCAGACTTTGAAATTAACATTGGGTTTACCTTCCAACAACTAATCACAAAACAAAGTTACTGTGTGTGATATTACAAACAGACATGTTTTACCACTAGAAGAAGCACCTCTTGTAAAAACATGTTAGTTTGACACTTTCAGCACAAGGAACGTATCTTGGCAGAAGACGAGGCACTTTATGTAGTTTAGTAATGTATATCTCCTTTTGCATAAGGAAAGCAAAAGTTTGATAAAACCATGGTTTGTATCATGGTTTTAACATCATGGATCTAGAAGGAAAGAAGGCCTCATAAGTTGAGCTTGGCATAACATACCATCATCATCATCATCTGAAGGTGATTGTAGAGGAAAACTTGGGACATAACAGTGATGTAACTAAAGGAGATAAATTGTGTATCCTAAAAAAGGAGGAGTATCCTTGATGGAGTGTAGAGGCATAATGCTGATTAAACTCTGTGATCTTTAATGTTTTATTGTTTTTGGTTGCCAATAATTGGGGTTCATATGATAATTTTAATATAATATTTTTAGGCATTCCAAGGAGGTCTGCCAAAATTTAATGGTGTGTCACCAGTTAGAATGGTTTCATTGAATCAAGAGTAGGCAGTTTTGTCGGTGGAGGAGTTAACATCTCACAGAAACAGAGGACAGGCTGCAGTCTCACCTCAGGGAAAATGCGTTTTTCTGCAATGACCTGAAGTTCCCTTCCAGTTAAAAACAAGTCTAAAATACAAATACAAAAAAGGCAACACATTTTAGTTTATAGCCAGACAGTATTATTTGCCTTTTTCCTTCAAACACAAACATTGGCAATGAGTTAAGAGTGTACAATAATATTTCACATCAAGCCTCTTCTATGAGACAATTTATGGTGCTTCCAAAAGTAGTGATGTGTTTCATAAGAATAAAAGGTGGAATCAGTTGGATGAGACAATTAGCTGTAGCTGCAAAAGCTGTATTTTTGTGGGAAGGGTCACATCCTTAGTCCTTAGAAAGGTCACACATCCTTAGTTAATGTGAGCACCCTCCCCATTAGCACCCTTTTACATATATAATATATTATCTGGAAGGCTGAAGAATATGTAAAAGCAGTTAGTCCTGCTTGTCCATGGATTGCTCTGCTGGACTGGGACATGCAAATCTATGTACTGTGCTCAAGAATTTCACAGATGTTTAACTGGTTGGATGTCCTTGCTGTTTTAGTCTTCCAGTGATTGGGGAAAAAATGAAATATGCTGGGAAAAAGTTCCACATTGCCTTTGGAATTTACTTTAGGGTAGACTGTAAACAGCAGCAGCAACAGTAATGCAATGAAAACCAAATGAATTATTTCATATATACCTGTTATATCACAGTCAGACATTTTAGAACAATAGCTGGTGGAACTGACTGCTTTACTGCCTTTCAAGCACATTTATTTTACCTAATAGTGCTGTTTGAATGCCGTACACAGAAACAGATCTCAAAATTCATACCTTCAGAGTATAATGTATGAATATTTGAATAATAAATAGGTATTCCTTTCTATCTTCACCGGTTCCACCTTCCTGTTGCTGATTCCTACTGAAATATTCCCCCTTTATTGCTTTTTTTACCAGCTGTGTTTTGGAAAGTGAAGGAAATGAAAGACTCTGTTTAAAGTAGATTCAAGAAAGAGACAAAAATGTCTGCATTTATCCAGATGTCTTCAAGGACTACAGGGTGAACTGAGTACCCAGCTTGCGTGTGTGCGTGTGTGCGTTGCCTGTATAATTAATGGGGCGATATATACCGTAAGTAGCATGCTTTTTGGTGTGCACTCAGGTTCCAGAGGTGGAAGACAAAGAATAGGTGACAAGAAGCAGGTAAAGCAGCTGAAGACAGGCGTGGGATGGAGTTCCAGAAGTAGTAACTGAAGTCCAGAAGGGTCACAAGCAAGTGACTTCATCTAATATAGGCAGGCATTTTTTGAAAGACTGAAATACAGTGACAGGAATAGGGCAGTGACTGAGTCAAGAGTTTGTACTGTAGCTGGTCTGGCTGACTTGTGGGGAAGCAACAGCTATCAGCATTATAAAGCCAGTAGGGCCTCCATTGGATGCATAGATTACTTCTGAGCACAGTTGAGAGGAACACTATGAGGCAGTTTTTAATTCCATTCCCTTAGCTGAGCTCTTTTACCTAATCTGGAATTACACACTGTGGCCATCAGGTGGCAGTGTTGAATAACATTTACTAGTACTGTGTAGGGTTGCGAGGCAGCAAGAGAAGATTATTCAGAGTTAAGGTGAAATGGCATGAAGAGGAAAGAATACAAGAACCTAATCTTTATGTTCCAGCATATTATTACATCTTTTGCGCATTCGGTGTCAAAATACATTGGAGGAAAATTCAGATATTTCTCAGACTGATGTAGTCCACAGTGATCACTGCATTTTGATAGGTGGAAGAATATTAGAAGTCCAATAACAATTATTCAGCGTTAATGAAATGTAGTGAAATAACTGAATAGATTTAGGTATTACTGTCAAGATGTTATCAACCCTATAGCAGAAAACTAATTTACATCCATTAGAAATACAGGCAGCTTTTGTGGTTGCAAGTCACCATTTACCTCATGATGCTGGTCCTGTACTGTTCTTTTATTGAAGAGGCAACTGCTGCAAAGTTTCACTCATCAAATACAGCACCGACACAGTGAACCTCCAGTAGAATCTCCCTGTTATTTATGAACCAAGGAATACTGAATTTACGAAGGGTTGTAATTCAGAGATGGGTAATACCTTTAATAGGACCAGGTAAAATGCCACGAGAGTATGTAGGTTTTCAAGTTCAAAATTCTTCATCAAGTTGGGTAGTACTACCCCTCTCCACACCCCCACACCCCACCCCCAAACAAAGAAAAGAAAGAAAAATATAGAAGGGGGAAAGAAGCAGTGAAGACCTGCCCAGTCATTTCATAAGTTGGAATTTCAGTGGCTTTGTCTCTGATAAGGGAGTCGAGCCAATGCAAGCATGGAAAGATTGCCAGGCAGAATACATGTTTTTCCTCTAAGCAGAACCTGAGCTATTCTTAGGAAGGCTGCTGAACTGAATCTTAAACAGAACATTTAAAAAAGAGAGACTAGCCGTTATAGATCCAGGTTAGTGGCTGCACTAAAACTGCTGATGTGATACATCCACCCACAGAACAACAATTAATCCTGAGCACACAAATAATATGCCTGGGAGGCTTTTTGGTAGACATATATTTTAAGCATTTCTAGGTTTCTTTAGTCTGCCATTGTGATGGATGCATGATACTCTTCCACAAGTTCACAAATGGCCTCTCATAATTCTCCACACTATTTGTGGGGAGAGAAATTAGTAGTGACAATTTCACCAGCTGTTTCCCATCTAGCATTTGTTCAGAGGTGGGTTAGCAATGGGTTGTAGCAAGTCTTTGTGTGTCCCGCCCCAGAAGGGTTTCATTCTGCTCTGTTCTGTTTTTTTGGGGGCATCCACTGCAACAACAGCAAATATATTGGCACCCTGACTGCCATTTTGCTTTCCACCGTGCTCTCCAACTTGTGTTACTGGTGCACTATAATCTGATGGTAGAGAGATAATCACCTCCTCCCCTTGGAGAAATTTTTTGAAATGGTTCTGGAAAATGGCCTTCTATGACTAGGGGAGTAAGAAATCTAGTAATGTTTCTGTATAAACAATGCCATTTGAAAAGCTTGGCTCCAAACAACCTGTCATTTGTCGTGGCATAGTACGTTATCCAGAATCTCCCAATGATTACATTTTGGAGGGTTCATTGTATCTTTATTTCAAAACCTAATATAGATTTCCTCCTTGAAAGCACTGTATGAGGAAAGGCACTGTGGTGTTCAGCTGCAGAAAAAAAATTGACATGTGTGTTGTGCCGATTCCATAACATTTTGTTTTCCTATGAAAAGGATTTCAAACTTTTCCCCCCACACACTCATGGGCCTTTAAAATTTCTTTTATGTCTTTCATAACATTGCAAGGTAGCAAAGGATGATTTGATGTTTCTATTCCGTATTTCTTCACCATGTTGCAGCTTCCTCGCCTGTCTGTATTTCCTGATCTGAAAAAGCCAGTGTCTTCTTACAGTCTTTTCTGGGACTCTAACTGAAGTGTGAGAATCTGGGGAGATGATTTATATGGGCCTTTAAAATTTCTTTTATGTC